TCAAGTTGGAGGCAGAGTGGGCGGAGAGTCTATGCTCCACCCAGGTAATCAATGTCGAGCTGCTTGTTTCCCATCCGTGTGACCTACATCGTACTATCGTTTTCCTTCAGGTAATACGGTACCTGTGAATTATCTGTATTACAGGCATTCCCTGCAGGATTAGAATACCTTGTCCTGACAGTCTTACGTGAATGTGATCTAAAGTGTCTACAGCAACTATTTCTCAGAAACTCAGTACTAAGGAGAGGCGTTTGGAGGGCACGGCAGGCCCTTCAGCGGCCTGGCCTGACAACCCTCAAACCAGTCGACCAATGCATTTGGGTTTCGTAAGTCTCGGACAATGTCTGAGTTCCGCCAGTTACACACATGTAACACTTTCATGTAAGAAAACTAAGGGAACAGCTGGATTCATGCGGTCTTTATTAGTACGACAAGTACAGCAAGATCTGCAATCGTTTATCAAAATACGTTACGGAAGGGTCTGCAAGGTCTTCAAAACAAGATCTGTTCACGTTCTGAATCATGTTCAGAGACTGCTGCAGAGACAGATGCCAGACAACGAATGCGTGAGCAGATACTTCCGCTGACTGAGGCCGGTTCCGGCACCCCAAATGCACCCTAACTGCCCAGCCCAGTTGCATTACACGTTGCTGAGCTCCAACAATTACTTCAGAAGGGAAAATTGCTTTCTGGGAAGCCTTTCCTGCTCCACAGGCCAACCGGAAGTGCTGCCAGGCCTCAGTGGGGGCCCACACCCAGCAAGAGGCACCCCCTGGCTGAGGCCCCTGGGAAATGGCTTTGACATTCGAGGAGGGGGTTCACTTCAGCACCACGCTGTTTTGTAATTCAGAGAGTTGAGGTTTCAAATGCCCAACGGGCCATGCTGCTGCCCCAGCAGCCCTCCTGCTCTCCCAACCGGACCACGTGCTGACCGCCAGGCGGTTCTGAGACGGAGTGAAGAGTTCTTGACCGCAGGTGGAGTTTTGCGAAGAATCAAGCCATCTTTATACCAACAGTTTTCTGACTCACCTTTCTCCTTGAGGGAACCAACAGTGCCTACTGCCTACTGCAGCTGCAGGGGCGGCACAGGCCGCTGTCCCATGCAGCACTGCTCTCCGGAACACCGACCAAGGACTCAGTATTTTAGGGGAACATGTGCTCGGTCAGAGAAGAGAGTACGGCTGCGCTCTGAGGATGTATCGGACTCGTCCGTTGCCATGGCAAGAACATACCAGACACTGGACAAATCTCCCTGATGGGGCTGGAGCTCTGTTCCTTCCAGGATTAGATCAGGAATGGTCTGACTCCTGGATCCCTGCGCTGCAGTCAGAGATTACAGCCTCCCTTTGGATGTCTGCTCAAGGACCCTGCAGAACCGCATTTGGCAGCTTGCCTTTTGCTTCAGATTCTGCAAATTAAGATGAAGATTGCACATGGAGGGCCAAGAAGTAGACATGCCTTGGTTTGGGCACCCATGATGGAAGGGGGTTTTAAAAACCAGGAAGACATTAAAAGGAAAAAAAGGAGCCCAGGAGTTAAAAGTGAAAGTATCCCATCTTCACTTGTTCTGCCATCAATCAAGCGCTTAGGAAGCTTCCCTCTCCCAGGCTCTACTGACCGGGAAACGCGGTATGCTGAGTTGCAACCTGAAATCACACCCAATACTGAGGCTCAGAAACGGGAAAGGGAGTGCTTCTTTTCCGGGGGGGGGGGGGGGGGGGGGGGGGGGGGGG